TTAAGAAATTTTAGTCGAATTTATATCCCGATTGGGAAATAGGCTGTTAATCTTTTATTGCTCATAATGGGATATACTCTTGATCTAATCGCTTTCCACGTCGACCGTGTTTTTTTATTTCTTCCTTTTCGATGCTCGCATATATTGAAACACAATTCTTTTCTCATGCGTCTACAATATATAAATATACGTGCTTTGTGTTTAACGGGGAATTTTCTAACTATCCGCATGATAGAAGAAATCTATTTACGTCTGTTAAACAGATATATGTGTCTCTTCGATCAGCTGGAGAAAACAAAAGACACTACTAGGAACGTTAGAGAGGGGGAATAAAGAAGGAGAAGAATATTCAGCTCTCATATAATTAAAATTTATCATTTTCTTACAAATTAAAAATTAAAATTCTTGATATCCTGATTGGGATATAGATTTTCTTTATATCTCAATCGGGATATCGAATTATATCCTGATCGGGATATAATTTCAAACTATATCCCGTTCGGGATATAAAAAAAATTTTGCTGCAAAAAATGATATCCCAATCGGGATGATATATATCCCGATTGGGAGTACATCCCGATCGGGATATGTCTCCACACTGTCTGTTAAGGTTGTACGTTACATGCGACGGGAGACGGCGAATATCCTCTGCATTGTTCGTTGATCAAACGCCGATAATTCTTATTGTGCAAAACTCGTATTCAGAAATAACAACAAAAAATGTACCAAAAAATTTACATGTGGGAAATCAAAAGTGAGTACTCGCTAACAATGGATTATATATGTGAACAGTTCAAGAGAGAAAAACGGCATACTTTTTAATAAATTTTTAGATATGAACTGGTTGGAACAACAACGCACAAACGAAACCATTTCATTGGAATGGTTTATTGTAACACACATGGGAAGACAACAATCGTGGACGATCTTTTTTTAACAGTGGACGATGTACATGTTGTTTCCAAGGCTTTTTATATTCTATCAGAGTAATTTGTGCTAATTTTTATTATTATTTTATTCTTCTCATTATGTTATTGTAAAAATAAATTGCCTGCGTTGCATGTGATGTTTAGCAGTACTTTTCTCAGAAGGAACAAGCGTTAGCGCAGAAGGACGTTATGTCAAAAACAATTATCGTATTGTGAATGCGCGGTAAATATAAATCAAGATTTTTCACTAAGATTAAGACATAGTTCAATTCTCCAGCTTATACGTTTTCACAAAAAATCTTAAATAGTCCAGTTTAGTTCTTTCATTTGTGAGATTTCAATAATGAAAAAAATGTGTACTGAAGTCACGTCCTAGCACATCCCTAGTGAATCTACTTTTGTACAAGTACTCAGACAAGTACTTGTGCAAGTAATTTCCAGACTACCTGGAGTTTTTTGCAAGTAAAAAAGGTACTTATCAAGTAATTTAACAAATATAAGTATTTGATAAGTACTTGCGAATATATGCACGCATCCGAAGTTCTTCCAAGTACTTGTCATCGATCCAATCTAAAAATGCTTGGCATGTGCTTAACTAAGTACTTTAAAAAATCTGTAAGTAGATTATGTTTGACTTAAGATTCATCATACATAAATCATAACCTAACAACAAAGTCTTCTTGCCCACCGTGTCATTAAAACCACTGCTGTCAGCTAGTGAACGCACGGTAGATATGAAAAGTGCACATTTCATTCTTAAAACACTATTTTCTTCTTAATTTTACGTATTTTCAGCCTATCTTATTCATATATGACTCACATCTCTTAAACGATGCAATTTAATTCGTTTCCATTAATTACCCACGAATTCTACGGAAAAATCCTTAAAATATCTTAAGGTTAGTTGTTATAGTAATATTCCTCTTTTCTTCCAATCATTCTCTCCCTTTGCCATCTTACTTGAACCTCTATGATGAATTCTGCTATGTCCCTTAAGTGGTTGGATTCCCTTAATCGGTGATCACAGATGTGTATGTATCGGTACTAAAACTAAAACACATATATATCTGTACTGCATGCGGTATGCGTATATATATCTTGCGCTCTATTGATGACGATAGAGAAAAATCTTTTTTCCTACGATAGAGAGAGAACGAGAGAAAAATATTGTTGATACTGTTCGGGGTGAATGATCACATATCAACTTGTCCTGTTTGTTTACCACTGGAAGGATCTCTCTCAAACAGATTCAGGAGCCTCCAAAGAAGAAGATTAAAAACGAAAATTTGAGCGCTAACCTTGAAACTAAAGCAGTCATTTGATGCCTCTACTTGTTGCATAAGAAGGCGTGCCTCATTAAGAACTTTGCAAACAACACCGATCCGGATTCCGACATAATACGGCATGCTTCTGGTAGGATTGTGCCAGATTTCATCGGATTCCGGCATGTTCCGGCGTCGGATCCTGTCGGATCTCCCAGGAGCTTGTCTTCGGAATCATCGGCCTTGGTACTATCTAAATCATAGACAAGATGCCTTGGTTGAAACGTTTTGTTTTCTGTTCCAGATGTATTTCGTTACACTTTTACTATGTACTAAACTGCAAAAACAAGTGTCAGTTTCACTAATGAATAGAATGTGTAACATAATCAGAGGTTGTCTTAAAAAGCTGAACAAATGTTTCTTCAAGTACAGAATATCCTCTTACTTGTCCCGTGTCTTTTCTAGAGGACGTTTCTCGGACCCATCAGTTCCAAACAGCCTAATAAATGGAAAGTCAGGCGATAAAAGCAGCTGATCAACCACGACCTCAATGGTATTGGAAATCAAATCCTGATCCATGGTCAACAAATGGAAATGAAGAATGGACACAATATTCTGATATCGAATCAGCGATTATCGAAGAAGCATTTAATCAAAAGAATAAAACGAAACTAGTTGAACTGGATAATTATTCGATTAACTTAAACGATTCCATTCAAATCAGTAAATCGGATCCAAATAAACAACAGCCAATAAAACGGGTTCTAACTAGTAGAAACGAAAGTCAAGGTTTAAGAGAAGAAAGATTCTTTCTCACACCAGAATTGAGTAAAACGTTCACTCATGACTATGGCAAAGAAGCTTATATTTTTCTTTCACAGTGGAAGAAAGACAAGGAACTTTCTGACGCTGAAATAGCAGAGCAGGCAGCGAATGGAATAATTACCGAAGGAAAGAAACTAGGTCGACATTATGAGTCACAAGGTCTAGCTGGCCAAATAATAGCCGTGAAAAACAAAAAAAGAGAAGAAATTTACAAGTGTTGCATTCAGCTATACACAATGGAATGCTTTCTATACAAACTAATAAATAAAGCACTGAGAGAAAATGACACGAGCAAAATAAACACTTTGGGACCATTTTGTTACATTCTATTCAGAAGCTGGTTAAAAACCGATACGAAACACCAAGCGGAACTTTATCGAGGTGTAAACATCGATCAGAACACGCTAAAATCATATGCCGAAGCCACCGGCCAGCACAGATACTGGAACGCCTTTACCTCAACCAGCAAAAATCGTCAAAAAGCCCAAACCTTCGGCAATGTCCTATTCATTATCGATGCGACCGAAATCGGCGGCTTAGACATATCGCCTCTTTCCCACTACGACGAAGAAGAAGTCCTACTTCCTCCAGCAACAGCATTTCAAATCCAGGAAGTCAAGGAAACCACAACCAAGACCTATGTTTATTTGAAACTATTGAGTAACAACCATACTACACCCACGCCGAATTTACTTTCTACCGTCGCCAATTTCCCCCGTCAGATGAGCATTGCTGTGACGAAAGTGAAATGTCATCTGGTGCCATGGAACATCTAGGAGATAGATGTACAGTGAAATCATCCACATTCTTCATTTGCTGCATCATCATTGACTCAGTTGTTGGCGACCACGTCGTCGTCAGATGAGCACTGCTGTGATGAAAGTGAAACGTCATCTTGTGCCATGGAACACCTAAGAGATGGATGCACAGTGCAATCGTTCCCGTAATTCACCACCTGCATCATCACTGCGTCAGTTGTTGCTGACCTTGTCGTCGTCAGATGAGCATTGCTGTGACAAAAGTGAAATCTCATCTTGCACCATGGAACATCTAGGAGATAGATGAACAGCCGCTCCTGTTGGTGGTGGTTAGCATTCTTCACTAGCTGCGTCATCATTGAGTCAGTTGTTGGTGACCTCCTCGTCGTCAGATCAGCATTTCTGTGATGAAACTGAAATGTCATCCGGTGCCCTGAAACATCTAGGAGACAGATGATTCCTCTGTTGATTGGCATTCTTCACTAGCTGCGTCATCATTACGTCAGTTGGTGGTGACCTCGTCGTCGTCACATGAACATTGCTACCACGAAAGTGAAATGCCATCTTGCACCATGGAGCATTTAGGACATAGAAGTACAGTGTAATTTTTGGCATTCTTCACTAGTCGCATCATCATTGAGTCAGTTCTTGATCATCTCGTCGTCGTCAGATCAGCATTTCTGTGATGAAACTGAAATGTCATCCGGTGCCCTGAAACATCTAGGAGACAGATGATTCCTCTGTTGATGGTCGTTCGCGTAATTCACTATCCGCATCATCATTCGGTCGGTTGTTGGTGACCTCGTGGTCGTCAGATGACCATTGCTGTGACGAAAGTGAAATTTCATCTTGCGCTATGGAAACATCAAGGAGAGAGATGAATCGTCTGCTGCTGGTTGGCATTCTTCAGTAGGTGCATCATCATAGAGTCACTTGTTGCAGACCTCGTCATCGTCCAATGAGCTTTGCTGTGACGCAAGTGAAAGGTCATCTGGGGCCAAGGAACATCTAGGAGATAGATAAACAGTCTGCTGATGGTTCCCATTGTTCACTAGCTGCGTCATCATTGAGTCAGTTGTTGGTGACCTCTTCCCCGTCAGATGAGCATTACTGTGACGAAAGTGAAATGTAATCTTGCGCGACGCAACATCTACGAGACAGATGTACAGTATAATCGTTGGCATCCTTCACCCGCTGTATCATAAATGAGTCAGTTGTTAATGACTCGTCGTCGTCAGATGAGCATTGCTGCGACGAAACGGAAGTGTCAGCTGGTGCCAGGGAATATCTAGAAGATGGATGTACAGTGTAATCGTTGGCGAACTACACCACCTGCATCATCCTTGAGTGAGTCGTTCCTGACCTCGTCGTCGTCACATCAGTATTGCTGTGAGGAAAATGAAATGTCATCTTGTGCCGTGAAACATCTAGGATATAGATGTACAGTGTAGTCATTGGCATTGTTCGCTAGCTGCAACATCATTCAGCCAGTTGTTGGTCACATTGGCGTCGTCAGATGAGCATTGCTGTGAGAAAGCCGAAATGTCACCTGGCACCATGAAACATCTAGAAGACAGATAAATAGTGTGCTGATCTTCGGAGTACTTCCCTGCCTGCATCATCATTGAGTCAGTTGTTGATGACCTCGTCGTTGTCAGATGAGAATTGCTGGGACGAAAGTGAAATGTCATCTGGTGCCAAGCAACATCGAGGAGGTAGATGTACCGCGCAATCTTTGGCGTACTTCACTAGCTGCATCATCATTGGTTGCGTTGTTGGTCACGTCGTCGTCGTCAGATGAGCACGGACATCAAAAAAGTAAAATGTCATCCGGTGCCATGGGGCACCTAGGAGATAGGTCAATAGTGTTTTTATTTGCATTCTTCGGTAGCTTAATCATGATTCAGTTAGTTCTTGGTGACCTCGTCGTCGTTAGATGAGCATTCCTTTGACGAAAGTGAGATGTCTTATTGTGCCATAGAACAGCTAGGATATAGCTGAATAGTATAGTTATTTGCATTATTCACTAGCTGCATCATGATTGAGTAAGTTATTGATGACCTCGTCGTCGTGAGATGAGGTTTGCTGTGACGAAAGTGAAATGTCATCTCGCGCCATGGAAGATCTAGGTGATAGATCTACAGTGTAATCGTTGGCAGTCTTCGCTCGCTGCAGCATGATTGAGTCAGTTGTTGGTAACCTCGTTGTCCTCAGATGAGCATTGCTGTGGCCAAGCCGAAATGTCATCTTCCGCCATCGAATATCTAGGACGTAGATGTACAGTGTAATCGTTGCAATTATTCACTCGCTGCATCATGATTGTGTCAGTTCTTGATGATCTCGTGATCGTCAGATGAGGATTGCTGGGACGGAAGTGAAATGTCATCTTGTGCCATGCATCATCTAGGTGATACATGTACAGTGTAATTATTGGCAGTCTTCAGCAGCTGCATCATCATTGAATCAGTTGTGGGTGACGTGGTCGTCGTTGGATGCGCACTGCTGTGACGAAAGTGAAAGGTCATCTTGTGCCGTGCAACATCTAGTAGATGGATGTACAGTGTAATCATTGGTATTCGTCACTGGCTGCGTCATCATTGAGTTAGTTGTTGGTTACGTGGTCGTCGTTGGATGAGCAGGGCTTTGACGAAAATGAAATGTCAGCTGGTGCGATGGAAGATCTAGGAGATAGTTTTACATTTTAATTGTTGGCTTACTTCCCTACCTGCTTCATCACTGAGTCAGTTGTTAGAGACCTCCTGGTCGTCAGATGAGCATTGCTTTGACGAAACTAAAATGTCAGCTGGTGATACGGCATATCCAGGAGAGAGATGAATCGTCGGCTGATTGAGATGTTTCACTAGTTGCATTATCATTGAGTCACTGATTAGGGACCTCGTCAACGTCAGATAACCATTGCTGTAGAGAATGTGAAATGTCACCTGGTGCCATGGAATATCTAGGAGATAGATGCACAGTGCAATACTTGGTGTAGTTCACTACCTGCATCATCATTGATTGCGTTGTTGGTCGTCGTCAGATGAGCACGGACGTCAAGAACGTAAAATGTCATCTTGTGCCATGGAACACCTACGAGATAGGTCAATAGTGTTCTTATTTGCATTCTTCAGCAGCAGGATCATCATTGAGTTAGTTGTTGGTGACCTCGTCGTCGTCAGATCAGTATTCCTATGAGGAAAGTGAGATGTCTTATTGTGCCATGGAACATCTAGGAGATACATGGACAGTATAATCATGATTGGCATTTTTCACTAGCTGCAGCATCATTGAACGGGTCGTTCGTGATTTCGTCGTCGTCAGACGAGAATTGCTGCGACGAAAGTGAGATTTCATCTGGTGCCATGGAACATTTGGTAGATAGATGAATAGCCTGCTCCTTGGCTTTCTGCACTAACTGTATCATCATTGAGCCAGTTGTTGGCGACCTGATCGTCGCCAGATGACCATTGCTGCCACGAAAGTAAAATGGCAGTTGGCGTGATAGAACATCTATGAGCACAGTGTAATTAATGTACAGTGTAATTTTTGGCATTCTTTACTAGGTGCATCATCATTGAGTCATTTGTTCGTTATCTCGTCGTCGTAGGCTGAGCATTGCTGTGTCGAAACTGAAATGTCACCTGGTGCCACGGAACGTCTAGGAGAGCGATGAATACTCTGCTGGTTGAGATTTTTCATTAGGTGCGTCGTCACTCACTCAGTTGTTGGTCACGTAGGGGTCGTCAGATGAGCAGTGCTGTGACAAGAGTGGAATATCAGCTGATGCCATGGAATATATAGCAGAGAGTTGAAGACTGTTGTTATGTGCATTCTTCACTAGCTGGATCATGATCCAGTGAGTTATGGGTGACCTCGTTGTCGTCAGATGAGGATTGCTCTGACCATAGTGAAATGTCAGCTGGTGCCATGCAACATCTAGGAGATAGATGTGCAGCGTATTCTTTGGTATCCTTTACTAGGTGCATCATCATTCGGTGAGTTGTTGGTGAGGTTGTCGTCGTTAGATGAACATTGCTCTGACGAAAGTGAAAGGTCATCTGGTGGCATGGAATATCTAGCAGATAGGTGAATAGTGTTGTTATTTGCATTCATCCTTAGCTGCATCATCATTCGGTGGGTTGTTCGGGACCTCTTCGTCGTCAGATGACCATTACGGTGAAGATAGTGAAATGTCATCTAGTGGCGTGGAATATCGAGGATATACGTGTACGGTGTAATCTTGGGCCTTCTTCACTAGCTGGATCATCATTGAATCAGTGGCTAGTGACCTCGTCGTCGTGAGATGAGCATGGCGGTGACGAAAGTCAAATGTCATCGGGTGCCATCGAACATCTAGGACATAGATGAATAGTCTGCTGATTGGCATTTTTCACCGGCTGCGTCATCATTGAGTCACTTGTTGGTGACCTCGTCGTCGTTAGATGAGCATTGCTATGACGAAAGTTAAATGTCATCTAGTGCCATGGAACATCTTGGAGAGCGGTGAATAGTCTGCTGATTGATGTTTTTCACCAGCTGCGTCACCATGTAGTCAGCAGTTGCTAATTTGTGCGTCGTCGGAGGCGCATTGATGTGAGGAAAGTGAAATCTAATCTTGTGGCATGCTACATCTAGGAGATAGGTGTACAGTGTAATATTTGGCATTCTTTACTAGTTGCATCATCATTGAGTCAGCTGTTGGTGAAATCGTCGTCCTCAGGTAAGTAATACTGTGACAAAACTGAAACGTCATGTGGTGCCGTGGAACATCTGGAAGCCTGATGAATAGTCTGCTAATTTGCATGCTTCACCGGCTCCATCATCATTGAGTCAATTGTCGGTGACCTCGTCGTCCGCTAATGAGTGTTGCTGTGGCAAAAGTGAAATGTCACCTGCTGCTATAGAACATCTGGAAAATAGATGAATAGTCTGCTCGTTGCAATTCTTCACTAGCAGCATCATCATTGAATCAGTTGTTAGAGACCTCGTCGCCGTCAGATGAGGACTGTTGTGACGAAAGTGAGATGTGATCTTGTGCCATGGAACGTTTATTAGATAGATGAATACTCTGCTGGTGATTCGCATTCTTCACCAGCTGTATCATCATTGAGTGAGTTCTTGGTCATCTCGTCGTCGTCGGATGAATATTGCTGTGACGACAGTGAAATCTCATCTTGTGGCATGGTACATCTAGGAGATAGGTGTACAGTGTAATATTTGACAGTCTTTACTAGTTGCATCATCATTGAGTCAGCTGTTGGTGAAATCGTCGTCCACAGGTAAGTAATACTGTGACAAAACTGAAACGTCATGTGGTGCCGTGGAACATCTGAGAGCCTGATGAATAGTCTGCTAATGATTGGCATTCTTCACTAGCTGAATCGTCATTGATTCAGTTGGTGGAGGTCGTCAGATGAGCATTGGTGTGACGTAACTGAAATGTCATCTTGTGCCATGGGACATTTAGTAGATAGAAGAATGGGGTGCTGCTTGGCATTCTTCACTGGCTCCATCATCATTTAGTCAGTTGTTGGTGACCTCGTCGGCGTTAGATGAGCATTGCTTTGATGAAAGCGAAATGTCATCTGGTGTCATGGAACATGCACTAGATAGGTCAATAGTGTGCTGGTGGGCTTTCTTCACTAGCTGCGTCGTCATTGAGTCAGTTGTTGGTGAGTTCGTCGTCCTCAGGTGAGCATTGCTGTGTCGAAAGGGAAATGTCATCTTGTGGCATGGAACATTTAGTAGCTAGATGGATAGTCTGCTCCTTGGCATTCTTCACCAGCTGCATCATCATTTAGTCAGTTGTTGCTCATCTCGGCGTCGTTAGATGAGCATTGCTGTGACGAAACCGAAATGTCATCTTGTGCCGTGTAGCACCTAGGAGATAGATGAGTAGTCTGGTGCTTGGCATTCTTCACTGGCTGCATCATCCTTGAGCCAGTTGTTAGTGACCAGTTGTCGTCGTGTGATGAGCATTGATGTGACGAAAGTGATAGGTCATCTGGTGCCATGAAACTTCTTAGAGATATGTAAATAGCGTTATTATTTGCATTCTTCCCTAGCTGCATCTTCGTTGAGTCAGTTGTTGGTGACTGCGTCGTCGTCAGATGAGTATTACTGCGACGAAAGTTGGATATCACCTGGTGCCGTGGAACATGTAGTAGATAGATGAATGGTCTGCTGGTTGGCGTTCTTCACTAGCTGCATCATGAATGAGTCAGTTGTTGGTGAGCTCGTCGTCGTCAGATGAGCATTGTTGGAAGGAAAGTGAAATGTCATCTGGTGCCATGGAACATCTAGGAGATAGATGTGCGGTGTAATCTTCTTTGGCATTCTTCTGTAGGTGGATCGTCATTGAGTCAGTTGTTGTTCACCTCGTTGTGGTCAGATGAGGATTGCTGTGACAAAATTGGAAGGCATCTTGTGACATGGAACATCTAGGTGATAGATGAATAGTCTGGTGATTGGTATTCTTCACTAGCTGAATCGTCATTGAGTCAGTTGGTGGTGGTCTCGTCGCCGTCAGATGACCGTTGGTGGGACGAAAGTGAAATGACATCTTGTGCCATGGTACATTTAGTAGATAGAAGAATGATCTGTTCCTTGGCGTTCGTCACTAGTTACATCAGCATTGAGTCAGTTGTGGGTCACCTGGTCGTGGTCAGATGACCGTTGCTGTGAGGAAAGGGAAGTGGCAGATGGTGCCATCGAACATCTGGGGATAGATGTACAGTGTACTATTTGGCATTCTTTACTAGGTGCATCAGCACTGAGCCAGTTGTTGGTCATCTCATCGTCGTCAGATGAGCGTTGCTGTGAGGAAAGTGGAATGTCGTCTGGTGCCATGGAACATCTAGGAGCCAGGTGAATAGTCTGCTGGTTTTCGTTCTTCACTAGGCGCATCATCAATGAGTCAGTTGTTGGTCAGCTCATGGTCGTCAGATGAGCGTTGCTGTGACGAAAGTGAAATGTCATCTGGTGCCATGGAAGATCTAGGAGATAGGTGAATAGTACTATGATGTTGATCGTTTGTGAATTGCGGTGGCGGTGTGTACGCATTTGGATGTGGCGTTATTTTCTTCTTTCAAGAAAATAGCTGAACTGAAGGCATATTAATGCGCTGGTTTTTAAACTAATGTTTTCCGCATACTTAATGTTCTCTATTACTAAACAGTTTTGCTAGAAATCAAGCATTGATCAGGTAACTTTAACTACTTTGTTATATTAAGCTACTTCACTTTTGATTTTTTCTTCTACACTTTGACAATGAATGTTTATCGAATAAATTTGAAGATAGAAAAAGAAAGATAGTGAAACATCTGTGGAAACATTTATCGGTGCGCCACTGAAACGCTAAATATCAGTCTGTCCACTTATCCTTCAATATGCGGATATGATAGTAATTGAAGATCAATTTTTTCTGTGCAGTTACTAGAAGATCTAGTTCCATAGTAGAAGAATGATAAAAATGAACAACATTTTTCACCACATAAAGATGCACAGTATGCACCAAATGGTGATCAACGATCATTTTTGAGTTTATTAATTTATTTAACAGATGATTTTGAAAATGGTGAGACATGTTTATACTTTCCTAAAGTAGCACTATCAAATACGGACATTAAAGGACTTACAATAAAAGAAGAAATCAATGCTTATGGTGGACTGGAAACTGGATATGAATCAATTACGATTAAACCAAAAACTGGCGCGGCTATTGCATTTACACATAATTTACTACATGAAGCGTTACCTCGTGAACGTCGATTGAATGGTAATGATTGGGAAGGATGAATTGTATTATGTACAGATATTATTGTAAAACGTACAGATAAACCATTAGGTTTTGCTGTTATGTCTGAAGAGCATGATTATTTAGCATGTTTAAATTATTTTTGTGAAGCACAACAATGGGAGTTAAATTATGTTGATGACGACGAAAATGACGACGGCGCCAACGATGGTAATCTCTAAAAAATAGCGTAGATAAGAAAACCCTTTTGGTCGTTTAGAAGCAACAAAAACCGATACTGTTTTTTCAGACCAAAAAACCGGTAATCGATCCGATTAAATTTTCAATCGGCCGACATTCACCGATTTATTTTTTGAAAAAAAAATTTTTCGAATGTTTTTTCGTCAAAACAAACGTGAAAAACATAAAAATAATTTCTAATTGAAGCTGTAGTCAGTACAAAACTTTAACCTTGTACTACTTTTCGATGAAACGGGAGTCCATCATTTTACTTCGAAAAATCAACGATTTTTACTGATTTCATGCTGGTTTCTGATAAACGGCTTATCCGATCCGATCCAAAGTTTTAATCAACCGATTCGATTCTAATTTTTGCAATCGGTTACAACTCTGCACTTAACTACTGCGCTATTAGTCATATTTTTGAGCCTATTTTTATTTTTTAATTCTCCAATTAAATTTTCAAAAGTTTTTCTCAACAATATTTTTCCGTTCCGAACATGTCCAAACGTGTCCAAGTAAGTGGTACTTGCAACAAATTTCGTAAAGTCCGAAATAACTTTATAATTTTTCCTTAGAATTGATCATTCCTTTATACTCTGCTAGTGACGAAACAAACCCGTGAATGAGAATAATACACACGATAAAAATACGACACTTTACAACTGTCGTTTGATTTTTTCTTGTGGCAATGTTTGCATTCTTTTTTGACTTAATTTAAGACCGATAGGCAATGGTTAGCAAAACAGCAGTTTTTGGTTCCGCCTGTTTTACGATGAGCGGCTGCAACTCTGTGAGCTTTCAGCCAATTGAGCTGAAAATTTCAATATAGATTTCGAATACAACTCTCATTATGATAAAGTCGTGAAAAAAATCCAAATTTTTTCAGAGCCACTTAGATTTCTGAAGGATCTATGGAAGCCCAACGATTTTTTTTGAGAAAAAGCTCTTTTCTAACATTTTCATTATGCGAAGCACTGTGTTCGAAACCTGTAGTGAAACTTTCAACTCAATTGGCTAAAGTCCACAGAGTTGCAGCCGCTCAGCGTAAAACAGGCGGAACCAAAAACTGGCTGTTTTGCTAACCATTGCCTATCGGTCTTAAATTAAGTCAAAAAAGAATGCAAACATTGCCACAAGAAAAAATCAAACGAC